TTAGTTTTCGGTTTATTAGCATAGATGTGTTTTTCGATGTCAGTAATAAGCTCTGACCATTCCTGAAGTTTAGTTTGTCATCTTGACCTACTAAAGTATGGATAGCCTCAGTGAGACTTTTTTCATACCACTTCATGTCCAGCGGTATTATTTAGTTATGGTGACTCAAGGTTATATGAGGAAAAACATTTTCATTACCGGTCATAGAAATTCAATGGTAAAAAGGAAATCTGAAAACAAATTTATAGCACTGAATTGATATAGTCTATTGTTAAAGTTATCAGGGCATTTCGAATTCAGCTTAGCTCGGTAAAATTAACAAAATGTTTGTTCCCTTGATTCTGTATCTGGGAAGTTGGAGGTTCAGATGGTTCGAGTTGTTGTGGACGGGATAGAAGAAGCTTTCGCTTAACAGGCTTCCGTGTCTAGTAGGTGGGGATCACAAATACCTCCAGGCAGGAACCTAGGTATATCAACTATGATAGTTTTTAAATAAAGGGAATTGGTAACTCATTATAAGATGTTAACCTTAGTCCTTAAGAATAGGTCAAGTTTCCTCTTAAAAGACTCCTGGGAAGTTGCTTAGACTAGTTCAGTCGGCAGCGAATTCTAGCATTTGACAACTCCTAGGGAGTAGAAGTTGTGTCTACAGTCCGTTCTGCTATGTTTTATCTCCAATTAATGGGTGTTACCCCTTAGATTTGTATTGGGACTAAGCTTAAATAGGTGTTTAAGGGGATGTCCAGAAGTGTAAAGGACACCGTAAGCCATCCGAAGATCACCTCTAAAACGTCTATACTCTAATGGGTAAAAGTTAAGTGATTGGAGGGCTCTTAATGAGGTTTGAATTTGAGTCCTCGAACTGATTTCGTGGCTCGCCGTTGGATAGGCTCCAGGGTGTCCTTATCCTTTTCGAGTGAGGGAGAAATACTATGTTTCCGTATTCTAAATGGGGACGGATGAAACTATTGAAGATTATATGGAAATTTCTTCCGTCCAACTGGCCAAAAATGCGCTTCAATGTTATCAGTGCAAGGTTTGCTCGGAAGGCGTTTTTGTAACAGTTAGCGTAAGACTTTAAATCATGGGGCACCAGGACTCCTAAATCTTTTTCGACTTGGTATACTAATAGAGAGGAGTTTCCTAAGTTATAGCTGTAGTCCGAGACATGTCGCAGATGGACTACTTTACAATTTGAAGTGCTAAAGGTAAGTCCGTTATCGTCTGCCCAAATTTGAAGTCGAGTCAGACCCTCATGAAATGCCCGTACATCGTCTTGGTTGCATACCTCTCTCCAAAGTTTCATGTCATCGGCAAAAACTAATAGGTCTGAAGATACCTGTTGTGGAAGATCATTTACATAAATCAAAAAGAGAAGAGGTCCTAGTACTGAGCCCTGGAACGCCACTGGGACATTCCATAGCCTGAGATAAAGTGAAGTTAACCCTGACCTTAAAATGTCGATACCCAATCGTTTGAGCTTACTGATAAAACATATATGGGTGACCCTACCAAAAGCTTTTGAGAAATCAAGGTAGGTTATATCAGCCTTCACCTTGCGATCAAGGATGCTTAACCATCTGTCACCTCGGTCAGCAGGTTGGTTATTCAAGAGTAACTTTTCCTGAAACCATGCTGTTGAGGTGCGAAGTTCAGGGACAGTAAATAGTCATGTATACCACCGCATATCAAGGACTCCATGATTTTTGAAGGTATTGAGAGAAGAGCCACCAGTCGGTAACTTGAAGGTTCGCTGCGCCGAGTTCCTTTGAAAATTCGTGTAGTTTGGGCCAGCTTCCGATTTTCCGGTAGTTTGCCTCAGCTTAGCAAGTGTGAGAACATCACGCTAAGCGATGTTGCCAAGATTGAGGCTTCTTCCCTCAATGTAGCAGAATGAACAGAATCTAGGCCAGGAGAATTGTTATTTCTTAAGTGCTGCAGTTTTCGGAACATCAGTTCAGTGCTCAGGTTCACTACGGAAAGTCCTGCGCAGTTACAGATGAAGCTGTCGTCAGTATAGTTGATGTGGATCGATTGAAATGTCCGAGAGTATTGTCCAGCCAAAAGGTTAGCGGCGTCGCCGTCGTTATTGGTCGGGCCGTTAGGACCTTGCATTTGGGAAACTTCAGTTTTGGCATGACGAAGAGAGGCTGCATAACGGAATAAGCTTTTCGGATTAGAGACCATAAGCTTTATCTGGTAATGAAGTCTGTCTTCTCTTATAGCCTTCGTGCATATGTTGCTTATATGGTTGTATTGCCTGTACACCCCATTGTTGCCAGTTCGTTCATATTCTGCCCAATAGTGCTTTTTACGCCTTAGCAGGCGAAATGTGCGGTTCTTGACGATTGTAGGTTGCTTGTAGCTATTGGGGACGGTTTGAGGAACTGAATGCTTTGTAGTACATAAGAGCGTGTGCAATAAGAAGCCTCAGTGAGCATCCACATCAAGTTGAAGGTGAACATCCTAATCCACCTATTGTAGATAGTCCTGTAGAGCTGAAACATTCAACCGTTTAAAATTCCAGCGCCTGTTGTTAGTGGGATAACTTAGCTTAGTTTTGCTGACAAAACTTGAGGCTATAGCTGGGTGATCGCTTATCCCCAGAGGAGCCAGGATTGAGAGGTTGTCAACTAGAAATTCTTCGTTTATAAATACATAGTCTAAGCGTGACGGTATCTGGCTATTTCTCCGAGTTGCCAACTTCACATATTTTTATAATCCCAGATCCTCAGTGAGGTTGAAGAACAGAGCTTCAGTTGAGTTTTCACCTCCAATATACGTATGTTCCGCGAAATTGACTCTAGGGAGATTGAAGTCCCCTAGAATCAGGACATGAGTGAATCCGAGACGCGTAGTGCGGGATAGTCCTTCCAGCATACGACTGTCATACTCGATTTCAGCGGTGGACTTCCTACAGATGACCCCGACTAGGCACCTCGAAGTAGCAGACAATCTTACTGAGCACCATACAGATTCATTAAGATTGTTAAACTCATGGTTGTGAGCTTGGTGTACCTCCAAGCAGAATTGTATGTATACGGCTACTCCACCCCCAATTCCTTTTTTTTGTCGTTGCGAAACAATGACATCCCATGCATTGCTACTTCGTGGTCCGTAAACTGAGAGGATATGCAAGTCCTACATATAATGTAGTTTTCAATTTTCCTTGTTTTTGGGTCAGATTTTATCGGATGGAATAGATTAGGGTCGTCAGATTTTTTCTGACTGAGAGAGGTTCATTATACACGAAGCTCAGGTCAGCCAGAAAGCAGAGGGAAAAATTCGTTCGACAGAGGTATGGCAGAATGAGTTAATGGATTGGAATTCTCTAGCTAGGAGCTTAGAGACTTCATAACCAGAACTATTAAGGAATGTTGACCTAGGATATTTCCCATGAAGTGTAAGTCCTCCACTATAAAGTTGTATGGAAACATATGATTACTTTACAACAATTTCATTAGACGAGAGTGGCGACTCGTTGTGGTTCATTTGATTCTGTGCATACATGTAATACTCAATTCCTCATAGCATGACTGGTCATCCTTAGCGCTAATTGATCCAGGGAATAATATCATAAACAATGGGTTTGAACGTATAAGACTCTATCTATCAGGAGAACAAATATGTCGGTACAAATAAAATGATTCCGTTTACAGAGTTGAAGTAGTTTTGAACTTTCCGAGAAAGTCAATTCGCTTCCAGATGGTAGAAATAGCTTCGAAATTATCATATACTCCTGAACGTTACCTCGCCAAACACATTTGAGCATTATTTCTAGACCTACTGAACACCCAGTCATTGACAACTTGAGGGTATCTCTTGTGTATATTGTGGTTCTGCACCGACTGGGTTTTTAACGATGTTGATAAACTGACTATCAACTACGAATAAACGTTTGTTTACCCATATTTTGCTAATGCTAAATATACCGTGTAACGACAGTTATGAAAGCCAACTAAGGAACGTATTGAATGAATTCCTATGTCACATACATTTATTCAGATGTACCATAAACATGAAGGGATTGTAGCATAGTCGACTTTATTAAACATGATTCAGCATTTTTGGTCAAATAAATAATATTGAATAAGACAAAGAACCAGTTTTATTTACTATTAAACTACTGTCCTGTAATCGTTTACTCTTTATGTATGCTTCCGACTGCTCCTGTCATGCACATCCTGAGGATCCATATTTCACACCTTTTGCACTGAATTCCTCCATCGAATGTGTAAACGTAAGACAATAGGATAATCTGTGTTCATGGTTTAAAACGATAGTGAATCTAGTGAAATACACCGCAGCTAACCGACTCAAAAGAAAAATAAGTTAGTAAATGAAATGAATTTTATCCTTATTCAGAGGTATAGGGACGCAGGGTTATTGCAACTGCGTTTATCATTTTTCATCCCACTTCACCGTAAATTCAAAATACACTTTAGTTGTCTACTATCTATAAATGAGCATGACGACCAAAAATATACATTTCATGTGACCTACAATTAACATACTTGTGGTCCGTAATGTATGTCCTGTCGATTTCCATCGTCTTTTACTATTTTCCTCTTCAGCTGGAAGCTGGTTTGTCTTCTCCCACAGAAGGCTGTTACTGATGGTATCCGGCCAGTGGGTGTTCAGTATATTGCGTAGACAACTATTTAAAAAATACTTGTACCTTCTTGATGATGTTTGTTGTAGTTCTTCAAGTTTCAGCTCCGTATGGTAGAACTTCCGTGAAGTTCGTGTTGAATTATTTTTTTCTGGTTAGCGTTTATTAACTGGTTACTTTTCTACGGGATAGGGTAGCTAACATTATGCCCAAACCTTTCCCTTTAAACAGGCTTGGGACTGGCAGTAACTCTAGAAGAGCTACAGACGGACTAAATACGAAACAAGGTTTTATTTGGTATAAATATTAAATCTTTTTAATTACGCACACATGTTATTAGAAATTGTGTGAAAAAATAATTGCAAATAATTTAGTTTTAGCCAGGCTTTTACCGACTAGCGCATATCACAATGTTTTCAGGTGTTACGTCTGATGTTGTATAGACCACAGAAGAGATATTCGGAAGATTTAACTCGTGTTTTATGTACATGAGACGTCCCCAATCAATTAAACGTTTACATATTTTTCCGATTTTCACCTTCACACATACATCTAGGTTGTGGCTGAAAAATAAAGAAGACATGTTTTCTCGATAAGTGGTATGAACCCTTTGAAGTTATCTAAAGTTAAGATTCAGCACCAATAACACCGGATTAATTTAGGATAGCCAATTCATTTAAAAGACAAAAGGTAGCTTCAAAATATTAGTGTTATAAATTCTTAGAAGGAAATGTTTCCAGTCATTGGTATTCTCTATTTATAGAAACAATAACAACTCCGGATGTATGAAAAACCTAAGTTCTCAATAGATGACATTATGTAGTGTTTATATGAAGTGATTTTCAATAATTACAATCTTTGTCAGTGATTCCAGTACAAAACATACGCGCACTTTACGGTGTTTTGCAGTATTCACATCTTGGTCCACTCGTAGTTACTGCAGCATGGCTTAAAACAATTGAACAGATCTGGGAAATTATTTGAGGCAGTTTGAAATGACAATGGCACACAAGTCAGCAAAATCACTCCAATTAATCCTGTGCAATTCAGAGAAGGAATTAATAAAATAAGTTATAGGTCACCTAAAAGGCAAACTGCTCTGACAAAGTGAACATTCCCTTCGTATTGATCCACATAAACGTCAACGAACCTTTATATCTTATGGAACGTCCTTGCTTGTATCAATGTTCAACATGAAAGAACAAGGATTAATAAAAGTCAATAATATTCATGATCTACAGAAAGGCTTTCATTCATTTGTGCATGATTTCATAAACTAGATCATTGTCAGATTCAAAAGAGAGGAAATTAGTAACGTCAAGTGATAGTAACAAATTTCAATAGTTTAAATAAATATCTTATAAACCACATCATTTTTTAGTGCATGTCGATAAAATCAATTAGTTACACATTAGCAAACAAACCATAGACTTTGAAGTATAGGGTGGCAATTTAGTTACATTTATATCAACACGACATTAAAGTGATAATGATTTGAAGGAATTTTTAATGTGAACAGTGTGATTCACAAGTAGTGTATGAATCAAAACAATCTAATATTTGTTTTGTAATGGTAAACATGTTATCGCATTTCGTGAAAACATTAGAAATCCAGGTGACTGAAAAACTAGAAGTACTTGTTCAGTCTACGGTACATCCATAAGTTCATCAAATCAATTATAATGAAAGAATGATACGGCCGCTCAGTGATTCCAGGCTTTCAGTGGTTGTCTAACTTAGATCGATTCGTGATTTAAATAAGATTTAGCAATCTCCATAACTTTATACTGGCAATTATCATGTGCTCAATAGTGACTAGCTTCAAGAGAAAATTTGCGAGGTTATAGTGAGAAGCCATGACTAATGGAAAAATACGTATCTGAAGTACAGTAGTTACACACAGAAGAAAATCAAAGATGGTCGCCAATATCATGAACTGATTGAAATCTAGACTTGTACATAAAAGAGTCCAAACTCATTGGTCTAAAGGTTATGCGTTCGTGCGCGAGACCGAAGGTTCTGAGTTAGGTTCCTCGTAGCAGGGTTATGAATGCGCACTGCTGAGGAGTCCCATACTGTGCCGAAGCAGCTGTACAATGCTTCCAGGTTTTCAGTGGCTGTCCAGCAGAGGTTGACTCAAGTATCAACATTCCTATACTGACAACAAAAAATAAAATTAGCAATCAGTAGATTTCATTTAAACTATAAACCAGTCTAAGTGAGACCACCATTGAATATTGAAACAAATATTTCATTAAAAACTAATCCCACTAACAGTGCATCCTGACATTCTTTTTCATTGTCACTTTTTAGAGCTTCTAAATAACTTTGATTGGAGCTGTGAATAGGATTGTCCGCCTGTTCAGATGATTCACATTTGAATCCACAAACTGCCCATGAGGAAAAATAAGAGATTAAGCGAAATTCATCTGATGTTATCTTTGCTTCTTTCTCTAGCCAAAAACGACCAACTGTTTCATCCCAAGTACATTTACTATGACAGCATACAGCAAACATTATACCTGAGAGGCTATAGAAATTTGAAGAATAAACACAGTATAATGAATAACATCTCAATAAATATTCGTAAATAAGTTTCTGTTATATAAAGAAACCTATCTCACATAACAAAAGCTTCTATAAGGTAGAGTATACTTAAAGAAAATTTCCTTGATGAAGAGATTTGATAAAATCAAGATACATAATGTTTGAGACCAGTCAAGATAAATAATAAACTGAAAAACGATGGACCTCTGACATGAAAACTTATTGAATAATATTGACATATGTACATGTGAGCTGAAAGGTAGAGCTTTAAGTGTGACAATCAAAATTCTAAGTAATTTTGATTGCACAATTGAACATACTGATGTAAGACAATGTAGTGATTTAAAATAGGATATTTGCTGGAAAAAATCTATATCTTTCTGATCAGTTGGTTTATTTCGTGAGAAATAATCATGTAAAAGGTTCGATATTTTATGAAAACATTAAGTGCTACTGTGTTGTTATTTTGAGTAATTCAATTTAAGTTGAAGTTTTAGGACGACTAGTGTGATTTGTAAGTTTTATTTACGAAATATTGATCTCAGTTGGGGTACCAACAGAGATAATAGGGAAATGGATGACTGTTTCGTCAGAGTGTGGAACACCTTAGCAGTACTCCTTCATTGTTAACCGTTCGATAAGTGAGATCTGATGGTTATGAATTCGATTGTAGGTGTACATTAGTCAAAAGTTTCATGCTAGAACAAAAAAACAGCCACATAGAGGTTTGTGGTCTTTAATGGTATCCTGACAAAGATCGATCAGTGATGATTATAACCATGAGATTAATTACTGACTCATAAGGACATGAAATGTTCATAATGACGAATAAACCGTAACACCAACATTATAATGATCAACATGTTGATAAAATGTGAACTGTGATCTTTTAATCAATGAAAGAATCTTATTTTTAAAATTCAGGTATTAGATTTGATAAAGAATCAAGAATCTACTTAATAGGAGACTTAGTTGAAGCATGTTACAAATAACATCACGATGGAGAGCATTAATTGGTTCATTTTCAACCAATTAATGTTAATGGATGAGTTGAGAAAAATTAAGACGTTTCCAGTGTAAATTTTATAAATACACTGATATTTCCTCACTGCATTAACTTCACATATTGTTGATTTTGAAATGCATTGACAAATCTGATCAAGTAGTGTTTTTGTTATGTCCCAATAAGAATAATGAATGGTAACTTTTGGGATCCATTTATCGACCAACACTATGCACATATTTTTATCGTATAATTGTTATGTAACTAAACTGTTCATATTCATGTCCCTCTTATCATAAGCTTTATGTTGACCTATGAACTATTAATATACGATTTACCATTCTTGAATTATGCCCTGTCTATTTATGACTACCTCTCACATTCACAGCAACATTTGGCTAAAACTTCTACAAATGTTATTTTCCATTTCATGATACCATGTGGTCTGTCTGGTTGATATATAAACCCAGTATGCTTGAAATAAATGATTCATATCACAGAAGCTGAGATTTGTGTTCTGAACTCAACTGGCTGGGCTAGACGGAAAGTATGACCAATAAGGACTCTAGACTGCTCGTACAGGTTTAATGCGTCATTGGTCTGATCGATAATTCACAGCTCTTTAATTGGCGGTATCGTTACGTTATCCATTAACAGAGCACACAGGCCACAAGTTATAACAGTTTAGATTTGGGAACTAGTCGAGTAACGTGAAATATCCAAGAATAATGTACCGATGAAGACTTGATATTACCATAAAAATTTATACCGAAAATTCATTATAAGAAGAAAAAAATATTTGACATACTTCATAACATTTTCACCATTTTTCAAACAACGAAGTGATAAGTCTGAGAAGAGGATTTTTTGTTTTTCAAAAAGGGTTCATTTAATTATTTTGAAATTAAAGAATAGAAACAAAAAAATGGATTTGTCAAACTCCTTTTTAAAAGAAAGAAATTGACAACTATTAACTTTCAAGGACAATTTTAATGTGTTCATTATGAAATTTGAATTTTAACAAAATTTGGCTTATTTCCTACATACTACTTCAAATGAACGGGTAACCGACTTTAAAATTAATGTGGATATTTTTTTCAAAAGTTAAGGTTTACTGTCCTTCCATCATCAAGTAATTCTTCATAATGAATGATCATTGCAACAAAATGTAGTCAATCTTACATTTTGGTATGAATAATTTTATATACACTTTATGCTCATGATTGCATGTAGGTTATAATATCACATAAAAGATTAAATCATATCTGATTTCATTTACCAATTCACATTTCAATGTGTAATTACAGTTGATTGATCACTGCGTGGTGACCAACATCACATATGGGACTCTTCAGCCGCTTCGGAGTACCAGAGACCTTAGTAACTGATAACAGCTCGCAATTCGTCGCAGAATCGTCTAAGTATTTCTGTTGAGCAAATGGAATAACTCATTTTGTTCTCCATCCTATCATCCGCAATCAAACAGACAAGCAGAACACTTTGCGGACACCTTTAAACGAGCATTACTGAAAGGGGAAGGCGAAAGGAGGATTGGACAGGTAATCACAAAATTTTTAACATCCTACAGAACCACCCCGAACTCGAATGTTCCAGATGGCAAGTCCCCTGCTGAAGCCATGTTCGGAAGACGTATTCGGACTGTCTTCAACGCCATGTTGCCATCCAAATTAGTGGATGAGCGCAATCACAATCTAAATATCCGGAACTTTAATGTTGGTGACAAATTTTTCATCAAATCATATATCGGGAAGAACCGATGTAAGCCAGGAGAAGTCGTACAAAAATTGGGAAACGTTCTGTACAGAGTCCGAGGAACATTTGGAACATGTATTCGACACACAAATCAAATCTATGAGGACAAAAGAACGATGCAGTCTCGAAATAACCGGCCGAATTTTCCGTTAGAGTTAATCTTAGATACACCAATGCTAAACATGCCCAAGCACACCGAAAAGAAGCCTCGGACAAGGCAGACGACAAGAATAATGAGACGCCGCCGCAACCCAGTTGTCAAGCTACAAGTAGATCTTAGAAAGAAATCTTATTCGGGGGAGGTGTTGAGTCGGCTTTCCGAAAGCTGCAACGGAGTCTCCAGAGGCCCTAGAGGAGCCGAGGGGTCCTAGCCAATCGGAGCATGATGGAGCTTTCTAGAATGTCAACGTGGCGTGCTACTATTGGTCAGTAGCACAGTATGTCTTTTAGCGGATTGGCTAAAATATGATGTTGATTTACAAATGTTAACATCTATAAATACCCGTGTTTTGTGTACAAAAACAAACCTTGGAGTAAAGTGTTTCTCCCATACTTTGCGTCTTCTTTCTGGTGTTCAGGTCGCTGTATAGTTCTAGCGTGCGGGTTATCAGAATAGCTTAGGAACGAATATAGCGTCCAATCAGCAAGACATAACACTAAGATGATATATTACTTATTTTCTCAATTTTATTTCATTTCTCTTTCCAGTATTTTAATAATCATTTTTTTCTTATATTTTGACTTCGATTAGTTTTGATACATAAAAATCTATGTGTGCAACGAGATTATTGAAAATGTGCATTCCTGCAAATTCATTACATTTCTTACAGATCATTACCATTTTCTTATTACATCATCATTACTGACAATACATTTAATTCATATAAACATTAAACATCACATTCACCTGTAGCATCACCGCATAAATGTTTGGCAACAGCAATTAATGGTCTTTTATTTTCTTGTATCAATGGAACATGAGCTGTGAAATTTGGAAAATGAAAAGTTTAAAGTAAACCATCGTTTCAAAAATTGCATTAACCTAATGGATTGTAAAAAGAATTGTTAATTGTTCCAACAAAAAAATGGCGATTGATTTGAATGTAAAGTTGCTTAAGTGTGTATTGATCCCTAGAAGTACGACCTACGAATGTCGTCTCAGAGAATTCCACGTCGTGCACTGTTTGCCGACTCTGGGACTGGTTGGAAAAGGCGGAGAGGTGGTTAGTGCATGACATGGTGTCGTGGTATGAAAGCTGCAGAGGACTGGCTTCTGTTGGTCTTTCACGACTCCCTGGCTAGGGGCCGAGGGATGCTGCGACACTGGCTTAAGACGTTATCAGATATGGCTCAGAATAGAAGCCAGTGGCGATCCTGTTGTAACCTTCTTTTACTTTCTTCGTAAAAAGTGGTTGTATCTTATTTAACTGAAAGATTTCTTCTGATTGTACCTTTCCGTTCCCCCATTATTAATATTATTATTATTACACTGCCTTACACCAATTTCTTCGTTATTGTTCTCTTTTTTTTACACTGCTTATCATTTTTTTCTTTCTCTTCGAATTCTCATTGTTTTGTGTGGCGCATATATATTGGCGCTCTCTTGTACCAATATTTATGTGTTCAAATAAATAAATAAAATAAATAAGTGTGTATTTTATATCGATTAATGAAAAGTCTGAATTTTTTTCTTAAAATGTCATTATTCATATATACAAGACCAATTGTAACACAACCACTATTATAAACCAAGCAAATTATAGCTACTTTTAATTAAAATACTTCTTAAAATCTCATAATTTCAATCACGAATACTATTTGAAATAGCAAAGTATAAGATGGTCGTTTCGTTCCAGTATGGGACTTATCAGTAGTGCCTTATTCACGACGCTGAATCAGAAGTTGAACTCTGAACCACTGAAAATTCGACATCCTACACAAACCCTTTCCATACATTTTTAATTATAAAATACTAAATATAAGATATTAACTAACTAATCTATCATGAAAGTACTTAACTATTTAAAATTTATACCAAAATTAGGATAATGTAGAGAATTCGAAATAATTTTGTTCTTTATGAAAGCAGACAATCAGTTCGTTCAACCTCAGAAACTCGAAAATATTAACTTCAATGGATACTGATTGGTTAAGATAGAAATTAAAAATACACTAGTTACCATGTATGGATGAAAAATGAACTATTTACTAATATGTAACCCATCAAAATGTTATTATTATTATTATCTCGACAGAACACTTCTTATATTGTATAAAATGCTCTTATTATTTTGAATATAACTCATCATCTCTTAGTGAATTTTCGTATCCTTTCTAATATAACTTACTAAATTTACTAATGATATACTTTTCAAGCATTTAAACTTCTATATTTAATATGAAATACACATTTGGTTATAACTTATATCTGTACATCTTATATTAATCATTATAATCTAATGATTATACAGTTAAGCTCAAATTGAAGTTCTTGATAGCAAGTGTTCACTGAAATATTCTTTGTTTTTGAATATAACTTCATATAATAATAAACTCCAGAAAAATGAAAACAAAAAAATGAGAAGATACCAATTGAAAAAGCCATCAAGAGACTTGAATATATTGATAAAAAGAGCAAAGGATTTCATGCAAAAGAGGAACCCTAAATCGTTAAAATATATATGACATGGTATTAGCTAAAATATTATTGTTTCATCTCAATTTGGGATCCTCTTGAAGTCAGCTGATAGGTGGTTATTTTGGTTAGGGTTATTCCACTTTCAATTCGTGAACAGGAGGTTTGAGTCCTGGCACGCATTTTGTTTTATGAAGTCAGATAATGTTACCAAAAGCTGAGTAAATGAGTGTTATGTCCCGAGAATTATGCCCTGTCTATTTATGACTACCTCTCACATTCACAGCAACATTTGGCTAAAACTTCTACAAATGTTATTTTCCATTTCATGATACCATGTGGTCTGTCTGGTTGATATATAAAACCAGTATGCTTGAAATAAATGATTCATATCACAGAAGCTGAGATTTGTGTTCTGAACTCAACTGGCTGGGCTAGACGGAAAGTATGACCAATAAGGACTCTAGACTGCTCGTACGGGTTTAATGCATCATTGGTCCGATCGATAATTCACAGCTCTTTAATTGGCGGTATCGTTACGTTATCCATTAACAGAGCACACAGGCCACAAGTTATAACAATCAGTTACATTAAGATTAAAACGATGGCTTTAAATAGATTTCATATATACTATTCCGAATAATAATAAAAAATGTATATTTGTTATTATAAACATTTAAACACAAAATAGATTGTAAAGATCCCGTGAACACTTTGAGTAAGATTACATGTTATTAGAAAATTGGAAAATTTTTGAAAAGAACACTGCCTTATTAAAAAAAAAAGTTGGTCTATTTGATGAACAAAACGAGAAAAAGAAGGCTTTCAAATGCACGAAAAAGAAGAATCTTTTAGTCATATTCTCCCGGGAAGCACAAGTCAAATTTCAGGATATCCTCAGAGAGAAAATGGGTTCAGTAAGATTAATAGTATAATATATAACAGTACTATAAATGCATTTAAAAACAGACTAACTGAAATGAATCACTCATAAATTATGATGGAAACTAATAATTCAGATATAGAGACAAGACATTTCAGCCCAACGTCTGTCGCATCACAGCTATACATGTTTGAAATGTTCTTTTTTTTTACTAAAACCACATATGATGTGATGTTCAACTATGTTGTGCCGGTTATCATGGTAAACCCCAAATACCTTATTCTAGCTTTCGGACAGCCCATTCTATTCATTCTACTTTAGTCACATTCTGACCTTGTTATTTATACGCTTATCAATCTTGACTGTTTTTATATGAGTGCGTACGTGTGAGTACAATTCTTATCACATGTCTATAAATTACTTTTGTGTTACTATAAATATTGGTTAACGCTTGGTTAAATGGGAGTTGGCTTACCCGCCATCTCCACTGCGCGTCGTTTCTCTTCTCTTTATTCCATTCGCTTTATATACTATATATATATATATATATATATATATATATATATATATATATATATATATATATATATATATATATATAATCACAAGTCGATTCTTGTTATTCAACTTATTTAATTCCGTTATTGACTAACGCGATTCAAGTCGATGATTATATACGAGGATAGACGATAACAAACATTCATACGATCTAATTGGAGTCAGATTCACGGGCCACTAAAGTGCAGAACCCGTCAATAAAGATCGTTCGATCTAAATGACGACAAAATTAAGGGCCCCACAACTATACCTAAAACCGGTCAGAATGATATATTTCTCATTTTGATTAAAAAGTAAAATAAACAAATTTTCTAGTCATTCAAGTTGAACACTACAAAATTTCAATTATCAATCAGGTAAAAAAATGCATTGAAACAGTGGACTTCAATGTTTAAAGTTTAAGTAAGAAAACACTTACTAAGATCCAAGTTAGCTATATCTATTCTAATACGTGTAAAATTTCCTTCATCACGTTGCCGTCTATCCATCTATAAAACACAGAAGGAAATAAACAATTTTGAATCGGAAATAATTTAAATTTCGGTTCTTGAAATACTTACATGAAAGAATGATAATTCAGTTAGAAGGGAATTAGATAAGTAAAATAGGATTTTATGTTAATTAGGTCTTCTTTATGTAGGTATTCGAATATAACTAATGTTACTGGTTAATTTAATAATTGAATTCATGAGTCGATTCAAGTTAAGCCACGATGGAAAACCTCGAAGTACTGAACAGCGGTTTCATCCTAGTATAGGACTCTTCAGCAGCGCGCATCCACGATCCCGCTCTGCGAGATTCAAACTCAGAACCTTCGAGTTTTTCTATGATGGTCTAGCTTCAATTGACTCACGAATCCAATTATTAAATTATTACAAACTCCACAAAACCCCTGTCTGATTATTACCAGTTGACTTATTATGTTGGTCAACTTGTACTAGGATAAATACAAAATTTACAGACTGACTTGATGCAAACTAACAAAATAAAAAGATCTTTTCATCAAACCAATACACAGAAACATTTCAACGTTAAAATGAAGATAAGATACGCTTGAACAAGAAAACACTTTTTTTCTGTATTGTACTTTACAAGGGGGAATTTTTGATACGCAGGACCAATGTTGATTCAAATCAAAATGATTTTCTTAATTAACTATATATTTTCTGTTGACCTTAACAATATTCTCCACTTTATTTTTATTGAAAAGAATGTCCACTGATTTTTCCATTTCATAACTTACATTAGATTTTACAAATTATAATTGTTAATATTCCGGTCTGGAATTAATCAGTTTCTGTTTTTGACATGTGCAGTCTGATCAGATTGCACATGATATTTGATTTGTCGACAAGATCATATAATACTACTAACTAATTACATACAATAAACACAAATAATTGAGACCGAAGACCCATGGTTCGAATCCCACGCTCGAGGATCTTGGATCTGTTTTGCTGAGGAGTCCTATAATAGAACGAAACGTCATTTCTGTGATTCCAGGTTTTCAATGGAGTCGACAAACTGCAAATTTTAATATCGTGTCTAAAACATAAAACACTATTGACTCTGAATGTAATTTTAACCTAGATACAATGAAATGTGGAATGTGAGTGAGAAACAAATGAGTTTTAAGTTGTACTTATTAGTAATATTTGTTAAGACATTGGGTAACCCATTACTCTTTAAAATTAAGATAACCATTGAAATAAACCAAAATGATTTAGATATATATTTCATTATTCTAATTATTTAAACACATAAATATTGGTATAAATAAGCAGTAAAATAAAGATACACAACACTAAGAAAGTGAGATTGTGGACAGTTAAAGGAAGGAGAGTTAGCATAATCAGAAAAAAAAATGAATAAAAATAGGAGTAAGAGAATAACGAAAAATTGGAGAAACAGTTTAATTGAGAAAGTATAACCAGAACGAATCCTTTCGGGTAAAGTAGTTCCTCATACTTTTATGAAAAAAGTAAAAGGAAACTAAAGAAGATCGCTACTAGCTTTTATTCTGAGCTATGTCTGATAACGTCTCAAGCCACTAAGTTGTACTGTCTCTAGAAGGCCAACCAAGAAGCAGTGAAGGACGGAGAGAATCAATCCCTATACAGATTTCTTTCATTCCACGGCACCATGTCATAAACTGACCCCACTCTGTCTCCTTCAACCAGTCCGAGCACCGGCAAAGAATCCACGATATGGAATTCACTGGGACGAAATTCGTGTTACATGTCCAAGCCGCTGAAGTCTGTCTTTCAACATAGTTACACCGATGGATATATAATCACTGTGCCTGAACACATTTCGCCGAACGTCTGCATTACTAACGTGGCGTTGGCATTCATTGTAACCAATCCCTCGTAGGCAATGATGATTAGAGGCGCAGAGTCGCATCGACCTGAATTCACAAGCTAAGAGCAAAACTGCCCTCATCAACGCATTGTAAACCCGACTTTTTACAACCGGGCTAGTACAATGAGGGGTTCAAAGATGGCCCATATTAGCACAGGCAATATATCTATTTAAAGTTGCAATGTACATGAAAAAATAAATTAGCAAATAGCAATATAAAACAGCTTTATTGAATGTACCATTATTCTTTTTTATAACAAACCTTATTACGAACAGAATTGAGTTCCACAACTATAAAGTCAGTTTCAGGTGCCTTTACCGGCCATACACCTGGAAACCGATCGTAACAACGAGAGCCTAATTCAGAAGAGGCTAAGCAGTTGTTGATCCAATGAGATAATCCAGCACGACCAGCACCGAATTCAAGATATAAATTACCAGTAGTAAGGAGGTTTTCTTTTTCCAAAACTCGAATCAGACAGCCATTCTGATAAATATGACGCGTTGATCCACGGATCGCATGTTCTGGATTTACTGAGAAGTTATCCTCTGATACATTTGTATCTTGATTGACTCAAACATGAAAAGAAAAAGCATCTCATCTTAACATTCCGTTATGTAGTACGAAATAACTGCATATCGTATACAGCGAATGAACGTTAATCAAGTCTAGGTAACTTAAAGTGGTTTTGTGGGCCTTAGTTTAATTTGCAACTTGTATTCACAACATCCTAATTTCATTTGAGGCACCACTGGTAATCAAGAAGTATAGGATAGTTGTTTTGTCCTCGTGTGAAACTCATCCATATTAAACACTCACAACTCTACCAATGACTGGACCCAGAACCTTCAAGTATTAGGGAGAACGCTTAAGCATCAGAATCATTGGGTCGACATCCAGTATTACAAATTTAACTTCAATCAATCCGAGGTATAGCGGGACAATCATACATTCCCATTGATAACAAGTGTCCCACTACTGAAATGTCTTCATCAATCACAATTTATCAGCAGAACTTCAGAAAGAAATTGAAATAAGTCATTAATGAGCTAACCGTGGTAACTTGACATCACGTACACTATATCGAGATGTGAGGTAGTCGACAGGAAACACTAGACCAAGTTTTGCGGTATTTGGTATTTGTTATAAATATATACCTGTAATTTCGAGGGAGCTGGTGCTCACCGGTGGATTCGACAATACGTTATCCATCTTCAAAGTCTAAGTGAGACGTTAACAATGAACTATTTTGGAGGTGATTACAAGTCTTTTAAACTAGTGGACACGTAGCAAATTAGTCAATAGAATTCGACTATAACTACACAAACACTATTTTAGCCACTAAATGACTGATTAATTGTAAACAAACTAGTCATATAGGTCACTTGCACCCGACTAGCTCGGTCGTAACGTCTCAGACTGTAAAGCTGGGTGATGTGCATTAGAATCCACTAGGGAGTAATAGATCCCTCAAGATTGCAGGTACGTTTTGCTGAAGAGTACCAAAAGGCACAAGACAGTTTTATTATCGACTGCCTTAAACCACTTTACATGAATTAATTTCTACCTAGTTTATTCGTTTAGTTTAAAACTAATATAAATGAATTAATCCATATATTCAGTGCTACAATTAAGTCATCTGATTAGTAATCTATTGAAATCACCTTTATCATTGCTGCTATTCAATGATATCGAGTCCGACTGAAGAAAAGATGGTATTTCATTTAATCCAGCAAGTCCGTTTGTACACCAATGACGAGGATTATTCATTGTGAATGAAATAAGTGGATGAATATCGCCTACTGATAAATCTTCGATTCGGTCAATGAGATTCAACTCTATAAATCGGAAAAAGATATTGAATAATATAAAAGAAATGTGATCGTTAAATATTTTTTATATCAACGTTGCCAAACTAATTTTAAAATCAAATTTCATACATGAAACCACTGAAGAAATCGTGACTCAGAAACTAAGAGGAGCTGTACAAAAAACATTTAATGCAGCCAGATTAAATGCTATCTTATACAACCACCCCAGAATAAGAACGGCCAATAAAGACAGAATGCCAAATCCATGTGTATCTATCGTTTCAACTGCTCCAGTGGAGCCAGTTATATGGGGCGTACAATTCGGCAAGTTCGTCATCGTATTACAGAACACCATCCGTCGTGGTTAAGCAGAGGACAGGTAAAAGTTCTATTCTCTCTCACTTGGTTGACACAGGTCATCAAGTTGGATTGAATAAAGCTTTTGAGGTTATCTACAATATCCCATCAACTTTGCCACATGGTTTACGAGTGCGCCTTTTGCACATTGCGGAAGCCATCGCAAACCATGTTCACAAACCTAACCTTTGCATTCAAAAGAGATTTGTACAACCACTTTCGCTGCCTTGGTCATCGGTATAAGATTTCCTTCAGAACTATTTTTCATACTTCTTCCACTTGTTTTTTTTTCTTTAAAAATTTTTGTAATTTTGTTTTTATCAGAAGGGGTTTGTGGAGATTTTAGAAATTTCACAGATTGAAATCATGAGTCAATTGAAGCTAGACCACCATGGAAAACCTGGAAGCACTGGACGGCCGTTTCGTCCTAGCATGGGACTCCTCAGCAGTGCGCATCCACATTCCCACACCTCGCGAGATTTGAACCCAGGACCTATCAGTCTCGCGCCAGGCGCTTAACCAACCAGACCACTGAACCAACCGGCATCCAATGGTGTTAATGTCTAACTTCAACCAATCCACGAAGTTGCGCTACCGTATACCATTGTCTTCAGTGAGCGGATATCTCACAACGGACCTGGTTGAACTCCACTGGTAACGGCTTCTCACTAGAACTCCAGGAGTGTCTCTTGAAGTCAGTCACTAATGAGCAGATGATTATTATCAGAAGGGGTTTGTAGTTGTTTTTTAACTTTATAACTCCTCAACATTCACCTCTTGATTCTTACGTAACCACTATTCTATCGACCATCCATTATAAAATTTGGTTCCTTCGCTTTCTCATATATTACGCAACGTAGCAACTTCTTGATTTAATAATTACTTTGAATATTAATAATCCTCTTTCTTCCAATTACTCAATGTTAATTTAAATGTCATTATGTAATTGTTACGTAACGTATCTACTCGATGAGTATTATATCATTATTGTAAATCATATATATATATATATATATATATATATATATATATATATATTAGTGTAGAGCCATGATGAAAAACTAACTGAAAGGAAATTTCTTCGCTCAATTCGTTCCTTCTTTATTTACCAAATGGCAAAATGGGAATTTTCACTAAATTAAAGACTTGATAAACTCTCAATGTGCATAGATTGTAACTGAATGAAACTGATTACGTAAGAAAAAGTTATTAGTATGATTACATTGCACACTGATAGTAAATGATTATGATTTTTATGTGTTAAGCATATTACTGATAACTGACGAATTATAGATTGGAACAGTCTATTACTAGCTTCTGTTTGATTGCCCAATGATCATATTTAACATTCACATACTACATATGACTTGAAGTCTGATGAGTGAAAATTTAGCTAACCAAAAAGTTAGTAAACTGACTTAATTTATTTAGCAAATAACCAAGCAAGTATTTGTGTAATCTGATTTAAGTCATACTTTTTGTGTAAAGGCTAGTGATACTGTTTGACTTTACAACCTGAAGAGATTTGTACCTGTACCACGGTGGTTTAAAGTTAAGTATTTTAACATTTAAGACAAAAATTTGGCGATCATTCAGTTATACTAACAGGCTGTTATCGTTGTGAATACGAAAACATATTGGTTATAAGAAAGAACTGGAACCTATGAATAAAATCACAATGTTGGAAACCTATTTCGCTCACAAATGTTAATATGACTTATTTGAAACAAAGATGAGAATTGTCCATTAAGTTCATTTGAGTGAATTAACCGATAGAGCATGAAAATTTACTATCCGATTTACACCTCTACATCATCAACGATAAACACTAACCAATCACAGGACAACACATACTATCATAAACTTACTGATGGAGGAAATCTGCCACATTACAGTGTTTATTACAAGTATTTTATTTAGGTTAGTAGATGACATGATAGATTTCATGAAAATTGTCTCTCTGATATAAACTACTCCAATGGGAATAAATATCAAGATGTAACTTCGTTTTTAGCTGTGAAATTTGTGCATTGTGTTTCGTTAAGAAGGAAACAAATATATATTACTGTTAAACTACTAATTCGATCTATTTAAATTTATTTAAAATAATATGCACGTTATTATGAATGTTGACTTCATTTAATTAGCCGTTGGTGAATAAATCTGTCCCAATCTATGTCATTATGATCTTCGTTGAGTCAGTAAAGCAATCTCATTTCGTTTCAAATAGTAATGGGTAACAGTTATTCCACAGTGATAATAAAGTCGTACCAATGGCAGTAATTAGAATTTGGCACAGATCACAAGACTAACATATTGGTCTTGTTTTAAATCATAAGAGGATTCTTGCGTAAATGTAAAATAATATGTGTAGACAACACATAAACATAGGACAATGTATGCTATTTAGCGAAATTAAGTTCTCAGAGTTAATATGTAGCAAATTTTAATGTTCATAGGTAAAATGTTTCTGGACATTGAAGTTATTCACTAACTATTTGGATGAAGTTATTTGAAAAAACAATCAATGACCAGTAGCTAACCTTACACCAAATACAGTGTACAATTTGTCAGTAACAAACTACAGAGAATCCATTTATTCACTGCTCGACAATCAGACGAGTTTGGCTAATATGGTCAGATTTGATATGCTAGTCCTAAACAGATTTCTTCTCGCTCACCAATTACCGTTGTGGTGTGTGCTACTTATATTGGCATAAGTAGTATATGATGTTAGTCGTAAACAGGTCTGGCAGCAGAGACAAGAGGATCGAACAGTAAAGAATGGAGGCAGAATGCAATTTGTATGAAAATGCAAGAACAATGAAGTCTGAGTCATTTTGAGAAAATCGATGGACATTTTGCAAATTAAGCATTTACTTTATGAATGTTGGATTTTATTAACAAGTCCTGTACTTTTGTGTTACATACATTCGATTGTTCCCACTGGTGTTCTTGTTCACTGCACCATCCAAGATATAAAACATTTTAACCAATATTTAAATGACAAAAATCGAACATAAAGTTATTATTATTTGGGTTGGGAATACAAAGGTTTTCATGATCGTGGCTTTTCTTAAGGTGCCGATCTTTGCAACATTACTTCCAACTAGTGATTAAATGTTTGTTGCTCGAAATAATGTAGACTATCTAGGTCAGGATGCAGTCCCAAATTGGCTAGCATCCCTTTAGAAAGGTTCTTTTCTAGGGGATGAAGTCGCTAATCTCATGACCAGTTCTCCTTCTTTATCTGGGTTTCAGACAAGTAACCATTGAAGGGCCCCAGGCAGAGGATGAGCTTACAGCTGAGGTGGGAAATAGAAATAAACACTGGAGGTGGATAAAACATACATCTTGGAAATCATCAGACTGTATCCCGAGGGAAGGCTTAACTTGAAATCCTTATTGTAAAAGAAAAACAGGTAGGCCAAAGAACACAGTGCGTCGGGAATTGAAGGCAGATATCAAAAACCCAGAATATGGTTGAAGATTGCTGGTCGGTAACCTATCCTCTACGAGTTAACAGGCATAGGAAAGCGGCTGATGCGAATCAAGTGGAACAGAATGAGTGCATATTATTCTACTCGAATATTTACTGATTTTCTCTTCAAGATTATAAAAGGGACTGTATATATTACTATCATTATTATCACCACGATTACTGCTTGCTGGTGTAACTACTATTAATTGTATTATTCTGTTTATCATAATCATAACGATTTTTACATGTTTCTTGCATTCTATTCCTTTATAAATTGGTTACAGACGTAACAGTTCACAACTGCTTGTATGCTATACAAAGGTCTCAAACTATCAACGTCATCGTCTAGTCCGGGAAGGTTTTAATTTACCGATTAGGAGGCTTTGTATTAACAATATATTCGTTTCAAAGTTATATTATAATATGAACATTCTACTCGAATTCGTAGTGTGATGTGAGAACTTATAAAGTATTAAATCATCTGATGAATACCAGTTTCATTTGACAAATCTGTTCATGATTATTTTTTGTCCAACTTTATTGAATAGATAGAGAAAAGGGTAAGATAATAGACAACTACAACTATTTCAAGATGTACTGACCATTTTAAGCGGGTTGAAAAATATGCTATAGGATAGATACGAAAAGACAATGTGTCTCGAAAGTCAGCTAGTTGATTCGAGTGGTGATTTAGTGGGCTTGAAATAGGTTGTTAAGGGTCTTGGCCGCAAACATTCACATCTTAGTCATTTCATTAATTCTGATATTTAGGTCATACGACTGGATATACTAAAATCGGTTTTACAAAATTAAAAAAATATAGTACATTGAGTTTATGAGCTAAGACAGAAGTATAGGTAGGGTAGTAGGTCCTACTATAATGTACTCTCCCGTACTGATTACCTGAGAGTTAGTTTATTCTTTAATTATCCAACAGGTGACATCGTCTGTAGCAGCGGTTATTCCTTACAGTAGTTGGAAAATCTTTCTAAGAAATATATACAAATAACTACTTTGTGATTTCGAAAAATCAAGATGTAAGAAACCTCTGTTATTTCCAGAAATCAGTTTCGAATGTTCTGTCAATCAGATCATAATAAGTGAGAATCCATTGACCAGATGTACCTTAACCACACAGTAACCATATAATGTACTGACTTTTTGACTACTTTCTGATAGACTCATTAGAATGGGGATGTTAAGGTATGGCATTTTCAACTATCATGTAGTAAGGTTTGAAGTCTGCCGTACTTCCGCCAATATGAGTGGTCGAGTAGTACTTACTATCCTTCAGACAATAAAGTAACACTCAAAGTTGAGTATATGAACTTTTATCCGGTAGGCAAGATGTGTAAACTACGAATGTAAATAATAATGATGAGTAAAACATAGAGATCGAATACACCAATAATTGAGATGAAAGCACCAGGTAATACTATGAAACCGAAACTTCAAAGCTGGAAGGCTATGGCATCACTTATAAGATAGAGCAGAGATATCATAATGCGAGTGGAACCAACAAAAGTATTTATATGCTCTAAGTAAGCAAATAGTCATTTTTGTACAAGATCGTGGAAAAAAGCAGACACGTATAAATTATTCCAAGATAATAGCTTCAAATACCCGGAATAAATGTTCATCCTCCCAAGTTGCTGCGCCAAAACATAACAACGAAATAAAATTGTCAAGATAAGTACCAAGATATCGGAAGTAGTGGTATTTTATTTTATTTTGTATTTGAACTCATAAATATTGGTACAAGGGGGCACCAAATATATATGCGCCGCACGAAGTAGTGGTATGTAATATGTGGGAAAGATTAGACATACGAAATGATCCGAAGAGCGAGAAAAAATTTACAACACATGCAATTTGAAACTCCGAACCTAGGAGTAGGGAATTAGTGAATGAGTCAACACTGCGAAGATAGATTCTGAGCCACTTTAAACAACACACTCAGCAACTCAGACCGCGGGGTCTTATCTTACCAAGATAGATCAGAATGAAAGTTAGTGGATTCATGTACTGAAGCCGCTTCTTATGTCAGTTGCTCTTATATTTCTCCCGATTTACTAGTACACCAGCTAATAATGAGCGTCGATGTATGCGACGGTTGGACACACGTAATGTATATGCCAAACTTCTTAGCTAATAAAGATAGACAACCCGTCAACCGATTTGTCATATTTGCTTGGTAACTTATACCTAACCTCAATAACATTCAATCAGTTGTTCAGCAATACATGACCAATTTTCAAAAGACACCTAAAATGGAAATCCAGCATGAATACTGTTTACTTTCATAGGATATACTTCACAGCTGTAGAGCAGTACACAGAAAGATTGTCATGAAGCACGCTCATCCTCTGATCAATAGACAGGAATCTTCAATAAGCCACAATTAATATAACCTGCAAATGCCAATTAGCCCTTCTGAATCCGTGCTGAGATTTTATTAGGCGCCAAATGATCTGGCCTGATGGGATTTTCAAGACGTGAAGTGGTCAAACAGCTCAAATACTTCACCCACTATGGCCGATCTAGAGGATGATGCATGAAAGTTTAGAAAAGCATGTGTTTAGAGAAAGACGCACCTAAAACAAACTTTGATTGTTACTCAAGACAATCGAACGACTTGTATATGAGCCTGTTTATCAAATAGAACTACGTCATCGAAGTCGATAAGCGAACCTCCTGGTAAGGATAAATCCCTGAAAATTTAGACAAAGTATTGGTTCCGAATGTTTCGATGACAAAGTTAAATTAGAATGAGGAACATGAGCAACTCTGACGAACACTGTATGGTGTTACCAATACTGGTGACAGTACACCATAAGCTCTAACTTGGCTAATATTTAAAAGAAGAACCTTCAGACGGGTCATGTAAGCGTTTGATTTGACTTTCAATGAAACATACTGTCTTGAGAAAGAGGTCAATCGATGGGGATGTACGATACCTTTAAGTTAAGAAGCAAACCACAATCGAGAGTTAGAATACATGTCTACGTTTCAGAACCTAACGAATGGTGAATGTTTGACCGACACATATACGTCTAAAACCAGCCTGGTCATCGTTTTAAACATAGAACGAGAGGAAAAGACGAAATGTGAAACAAACACTGAACACAATACATGAAATCATATCTGACCTGTACTCAATTCTTCTAAACGTGCTATCAGCCGTAACGTTGTAACTGCAGACACATCAGCTAGCGACATTTTTGGAACAATTTTACGATCACATAAGTTGGCCGAATTGATTCCAGTCACATCATATACCTAAAAATCATTCAACATGATAAAACAACAGCTTACAGCCTTAACTCTACGCCGCTTACTACACTTTTTCAAGTGTTTGTTAAGATTTGAAGGGCTGACGAAACTATGAGAGGACATTGATTTCGAAAAAAAAGAGCTTACTGTGTTGGATCCATTGGACAAGCCATTTTAGCTATGGATGGTTCCTAAATCTTGCAATTATACAAAATATCGAACACTAACGCTAATGTGGTAAAAACAGCGATCTGAACCCTTAGCGCGAAGTTGATGACAAAATTTATTTTTTTCCTTCATAAAATATCCGCATCTTTCTTCACACGCCATTTAGAAGTCGGTAACTACTGAAAGTAAAAATTGATTGTTGCAAAGTGAGATTTAAAGTAAATACAGAAACAAAGGTTTTTTATTATTCTATTCTACATCTTTCATCAAACTATCTAACGGTGAAGCATACTCATCCATGAATGATTTATAATATACAGGATGAGCTTTTAAACACCCTAATAACTGAGAATGAAGTTGAATAAACAAGTTTCGATTTTGTTGTTTTTCAAAAGCGTCCTCGCTTTTTAAGAATTTGTCAATATTCTGCATAAAATTTCGAAAGAAGTATCCACAAGGACCGGATATGTATGAACTAACACAAGAACAATGCCAATTGAACTGGCCATCTTCAGTTCGAAATCCAGGCTTTGAAAATTTACGATCGATATCGTAGTAGTCTTCTAAACGCAACGTTGAGTGAGCCTCTTCTCTGGTTAAAAATGTAACACCATGTTTGATTGGATTGGACATGTTAAATTCCTTTGCAATTACTTTGATTCAGGAAACCAATTAATAAGAATAAAGCGATGTTGATAAACTGTTGTTTAGATCACGAATCTAACGACCATTAAAGATCCACACAATAGTGCATAAACTATGAAACAAAAATGATAAATAGTGAAATGTTATATACAAAAAAGCCTTTGAGGATAACACTTTAACAGTTTTCTATTTCCAGAGTAAAACTCTATGCCTATAGATAATGCTTACATTTTCTACTGTGGGAACGATAACTGCATATTACTGAACGAAATATGCATCGAAGAAAACACTTCTTGCAGTCCTTGGTGTGTAATTAATCTACACAAAATCTTGGTTAACAGTTCTCTTCGTTACTCTTATCATAAAAGAGTAATTAGTTGGCTGAAAATTTCCAATAGCATAAAAGCACCGTTTCAACAAAATTGAACGCGTAAAATAATGTCGAGAGCATAACCTCTATTCTATTTCCGTTTAGCAGCATTCCTATTATAATTAACACGTGGTTTAGACCACCTAGAAAATCCAAGTATTATCAAAAATTGTGAGGACGAAAGGTAGACGAATTCGTATAAAAACTTTATATCAAAGTTATAGATGTGATAACTATCAAGCACGGTGCAATGAGACAACAAGTGCCTTAGAAGATCAGGTTTGCCTTCAAAACGCTAGGACTGATATAGTTAAAACCTGATTATTATGCTAGAAGATATTGCTTTTATAGTTAAAAATTAAAACAACCTTTTCAATGGGTCTGAAACTAGCACGAGACTGGATTAAACTGACTGTTTGCCATTTTCGTCACTTTCACGTGATTGGAATAAAAACTCTAACTCCGAGTATGCGGACAAAATTGACTCAGAGTGATATAAAATGTTGGACGGATACTCTTTGATTACCCAGCAACTGATGCTTGTCAGAAAAGGTGTAGAATATGTATTACAAATCAAAATATGAGACTGAATAAATTTTTCTACACACCAAAAGATGCAGGTGAAGATAGCTAGCCTCTGGAGTGATAAGGCTCAATATGAAGACCTCCATATCTTAGAAGAAGCACGGAATACAAAAACAGCTTAGATACACCTACAAGATTTGGATTCGAAAGTGACCTAGTTTTTCTATCTCATATATAAAAAATGCAAGTGAAGGCAGTTAGTGTATGCCTCAATATACACAAAGGAAGAAGCAAGGTCCAGAAACACAACAAAGAGAGCATCAATCATACTACAATTAGTGGAGAAGCTCTGTAGGATGTGGAAACTCATGCACCCTGACAGCACCACCAATAAACAAGAAGAATCTCATGCAGATATAAAGGCAAGGGCTGGCAAAGTTAGGACAGCATTCCTACGGTTGAAGAACATAAGGAACTCAAAACAACTGTCAGTCAACATCGGAGTCACAACATTCAACACGAACATCACGACAGTTCCACTGCACGGAGATGAAACTTGCAGAACTATTACAATCAACATTGATAAAGTACAAGTATTTATAAACAATTGTTTACGTAAGATACTCCAAATTCTGTTTGCCGAATACTACCAGCAACAAACTATTGTGCGAGAGAAGAAACCAACTTCCAGCTGAAGAGGAGGTTTGGAAAAGACACTGGAGGTGGATAGAACATACATTACGGAAATCCTCAAACTGCATCATGAGGTAAGCGTAAACTTGGAACCCTGAGATGAAACATAAAAAGGAAGACCACAGAAGACACTGAACTTAGAATTGGAAGCAGATATGAAAAGAATGAATAGCAACTGGAAAAGATTGCCCGGGTCAGAGTTGGATGAAGAATGCTAGTGTGCGGCCTACACTCGACCACAAGGGGTAACAGGAATAAATAATATGAGACTGAATTTTAGAGTCTTAAATACTGAGAAGTCAAGATGTTTGGTGGCTGCCCGGCAATCTATATCTGTAACAGCGGTATTTGTGACAATACTATGAGACATACCATAATCTGATGAAAAACATGTAAGTAATGACAGCAATCTCGTCACACTAAATTTAACAGCTCTGACAGATGTAAGTTAACTCAGAAGCACTATGTAGACAGTACACGGCTCAAAAGTGCGATTGTCTGAACGGATAAACGTTTTTTGTTTCTATGCAAGTTGAAGTATAATTTACTTCGAATCAGTGTGTCACAGACTTAATAAAATCTCTGACTTCACAACCTATCAATCAATCACAGTTATTACTACGACAAACATCTGGAAAAACAAACATAACGAATCGCGGAATAATACCTTTAGCCTAGAACACTTAAATTATGTTCCATACACACAAAAATGAGACTGAATAACAAACCAAGGTCAAAGGTGATCTGAAACAGATAGATCAGGATTACAGCAATATGAAAAGTAGCTTTATATGTGTTAACGCATAGTGGTACGTTTGATCATTCGTTTACAAGTTTGCTGTTATGAACATACACATATATATGTATATACTGAAGAGTGCAATCGAGACGAATATATATATATATATATATATATATATATATATATATGGGAGTAAACAGTTGGGAAATTGATGAAAAGTAGTTTTCGCTTTTGCATCAATGAAAGCTTATTTGTTCGAAACCACGGCTAATTCATTAAATATAGATGAGGAGGAACTGTTATTCTGTTAGATAACACATGGTTCAAATTCATTATTTTTTTATCTCTTACTGTTTCAACCACAAAATACAAGCGGGACGTACGTATGCTGAGACTAACTTATTTTGGTTCTATTGGTTCAAAAAATATCATGATCATTATTACAGAACCTTCCAAAATAAATGATCTCTGCCGTTGCGTAATATTGTGTTTGAATATAATAACAACCTCTTGGCATGGAAATACAACTAAAGTTGTTGATGCGATTTGCTATGACACATCTGCTGCACAAAGTGTCCTGCGAATAAGGAACTCTAATCCAGGTTTACATAACGGGAAGCTTTTCAGTACAGTAACAGTTATACCAAACGTTTTTCCGGTTTAATACCTGATGACCTTAAGACAAACACGAACGTAACGTGCGACTTCAAAAAGTGGAGTCAGATTCAGTCCTCAGTAACACGGTAGGAGGTCTATCGAACTATAATAATCGTTGCAATTTGTAACACAGTGGAGGTCTAATCTCGTTTTGAATATATCAATAGAAGATGCTGGTATTGCAAGTTCTGGTAGAGAATTCTTTTACTTCATCACTTGGTGCGAGAAACGAAACTCCAGACGTAGACGATTCGATTTCAGTTTTCGTACTTCCTTCGATTTAGATTCAGATTTGTGTAGTAAAGATAGAAGGCTTACGGTCCATTTTATTCCTTTTCTAGTATGCTTTTGTGAATGTCCAGTCTTCTCTTGTATGAGCCATTCGAAGGTTCGGACGTCACTGCTTCGGGTAACACGTTTCAAGAATTGATGACTCGGTATAAAAACCTGTATGCCACGGGTGTGTTGTTCGTTCCTGACTATTCTACTCGCCTGTTACGTCCTGTGAGATGTTTCCATCTAGTGGGAAAAAAGAGGATATTTTAGGACTTAAATCATTTCTTATAATTGTATGTATCAAAATCAGTTTACCTGTCAGTATGTGATAGGACAGAGTAAAAAGGTCTAGATTTTCAAACCGCTCTTTGTATATTAAGCCACGAGGTTCTGGAATTGTACGGGTAGTTGCCCTTTGTACTTTTTCCAGGATAATCAAGTCACCTTTTAAACAGCGTCTTGCAGCCTGAACGAAGTTTTAAAGCTTAGTTCTCACTAAGGTTGTGTATATTGCATTGAACATGGTAGTATCTAACTTGGTGAATGTCCGTCTTAAAACCCATGGGGTTCCAAGCCCCTTAGCTGTGACCTCCCAGCAGTGGGCCGTCATCTTAAGATCATGACTCACTGTCACCCTAAGTTTCTCGTGAAACCGGACCATGGGTATAGGCACTTCACCTATGCTATGCCTATTTACCGTTGTATCCACAGGGCGCATGTCAACATTTTTCGCCGTGTTGATAGGCATCAGCCATTAGATATCACAATACTTAATTTTGCCTGAAGTGTACATGCGTCACCCGTTATTTCCATCTAGAAGAGGCTGCTTAGTGAAAACTCTCCTGTAATAGTCTGCCATAGCCTTTACTTTTCCCTGGTCATATTCTATCATTTTAGATCCTTTCCGTTCCGTAATTAAATTGAGAAACCAGTGCTCGGTCATTATTCTGCAATTTATGTACGGAAATACTCTCTTAGGTTGCATGAATACAAATGAGGCCAACTGCATTTCATGTGTTCACTGAGCTTCCGAGATTGTAATTATACGCTAATTTCCAACCGAGGTGTGGTGTTCCATTCCACTTGCTGTGCCAAGGCTGATGGTGATGTTCCAACAACACAGCCTATCCAGGGATGGCCGTGTTTCTTCTTGTTCGGGACTGTCCAGGGTATATATGGTTGAGTTATTTGACTGTGCAACCGCCCGAAATGAGTCCATGCCTCTTTTACTGATGCATCTGAAACAATTATCTAGTCTTCAGTCGGTGCTGCAGAGTTTACCACCTCGATGTCTGCCATCTATATATTAGGATGGGATGCCGCAACTGTTTGACAGGCCATCTCTGCCATGAGCTTGAATAAGATGACTGCGTGATCCCTTCTCTCTAGAGGTGGGGGTAAAGTCATTTGACCGGGATCATCAACTTGTATGAAGACTAAGTCCAAGAGAGACAAGGGTCTTCGTAATTCAAATTTGGATAAACCCACATCCCCTACGGTTTAGACTATCAGCCCAATTAGGTAAAAAAACCAGTCAACTGAATTTCAATGTCAAGCAATTCTGACGTTAACTATGTTTCCGAGACAGCAGTGACATTCAAGTTTTCTATATCTAATGTCGTCTTGAGCTTCGCCATTTTATTTTGTGGGCTGCGAGTATTTGTGTAGCACGCCTTTAATTCAGTAGGAAGCTTTCCAGACATCAGAAGTCTTAATAATAGTGAA